AGAGAAACAGAAATAGAAACTCTAATATCAGTGAAACCAGAAGAATTGAATCCAAGAACTCCAAACCACAGTGAATAAGGACAAGAACATAAGATGTAATAGAAATGACCCAACAGTAAAAGTGTGCTTGACAGAAATGGGCTTGGGTGACTGCAGGAAAGGCAGCAGGAAATTGAGAAGCTAGCTAATTTGCCTGGTAGATTCTGAAAAGACTACAAAATTTGAGGTTAGTTCTCAGCAAGTAGAGATAATATCGAAAGTAGCAGTAGGCTGGGGGACTATAGTAGAATCATTTGATGGTTAGTTTTTTGTTTTCAAATTAGAATGAACAGTTAGACCTAAAAGTCCCAAATCCCACTCACAAAGTCAAGTAATTTCTCTCTATCCTTTCAGGATACCTGAGGATTGTTCTCTGGTGAAGTTTAACCAGAAAGTTCTGGACTCAGGGAGGTGAGGTCCAGTAGAGGGTAAGGGTGATAAAAGGAAAAGGAAGTTATACACATGAATCTCCAGATTAAAAACCCATTAAGAAACCAATACAATAAATGGAAAAAAAAACATATTGAATTTTATCATTGTGAAACTTCATATCAGAGATAAAAAGAAGATCCTAAAAAGTTCCAGAGAAGAAAAAAGAAATAAATCATACACAGGACCAGGAATAAGAATGATCATACATTTTTAAGGGGGGGGGATGAAAATTAAAAGACAAGGGAATAATATCTTAACACATTTGATAGAAATATAAAAAAGTTATCAAAAAATTTTTTTTTATTTTGTAAAAGTTTATATCCAGCCAAACTATCAATCAAGTAAATATAAGGATAGCAAAAAGGCATTTGAGACATACAAAATCTCCCATAAATGCTCTTTCAGGAAGCCAAAAGACAATGTTTCACTAAATGAGGAAGCAAAGAAAGAGGAAGAATGGGAATCAAGAAACAGGAGAGAAGTAAAGGGAATTCCCAGAATGACGGCGGGGGGAAGTGCTAGGAGCACAGCTGTGCAGCAGGCTGAGAGTTACCAAACCAGACTGGAGCAGGAAGTTGAGGTTCTGAGGGTATTTCTATGTGGGTGCTATCGCCAGAAAATACTATGATGTATAAATTGTCTAATAGATTTGATCTTGAGGAAAATTGCATAGAAAGGCATTTTACAGAGCTCTTGTGTAGTTAGGGAAAACAGAGTATCTTATATAATAAAAACTTAATATGCTAAGTGTCCAGTCCATTGGTCGGCCATTCAACAATCAAAGCATAATATGCTAATGCTATGCTAAGGCCGCTCAACAGCTCACTATGACGTGCACTGACCACCAGGGGGCAGATGCTCTGACCAGTAGGTTAGCTTGGTGCTGGGGTCTGGCTGATCAGGATTAGGCAAGAGGGGGCTGGACACGCCCTGGAGCCCTCCTGCAGTCCCTCCCCAGCCCCGATCATGCACCAGTGGGGTCCCTTGGCCTGGCCTGCACCCTCTCGCAATCCGGGACCCCTCAGGGGATGTCGAAGAGCCAGTTGCGGCCTGCTCTTGGAGGCCAGGCCAAGTGACCCCACTGGTGCATGAATTCGTGCACCAGGCCTCTAGTTCTACATAATAAACAAGTTTTTTAAAAAGGTAATCATTAACTCCAGGAAAAAAGACAAAGTTTTGAAAGAATGGAACTATAGTCACAGTGTTCTACCTGATTTAGCAGTAAACTTTATTTCATTAATGAAAATATAGAATATGAATTTAAAAATAAGATGTAATTTTATTGAGAAGTGAGGAGAGAAAAACAGATGTCAATAATTTAAATCTTCATCTATCATTATGGGAAGACAATAGGTAATGTCAAAAATGGATGAGTTGACGGGCAGCAAGATAAGTGTTTTATTTACAAACGAGAAAGCAAACCACAGAAGAAATATCTGCACAAGTTTCTGTCATGTCTGGGGAGCATGACAAAGGGAGGACAAGATTATTGTTTCTTGTGATGAGCTTTTTAGCATCATTTGATTTTTAAACTAACTTTTGTAATATTTACATAAAAATGAAAATGCTATTTTCAAAAAAAAAGTTATTCCTTATAATAACTCAAAGGTTGATTGTATAATAAGCATGGAGCTCTATTAATTTGTCTTCTAAATTTCCCTACTCCAGATCTTTGGGCCTTTAGCAGGCCATAGATGGATTCTTAGGAGCCACAGTGTGTGTGTTGGTATTAATTTAATTTATAGTTAAAAATGTATAAGTCCATTCTGGATCATCTGGGTAGCTGTCATTTTGGTGTCAGTATGTATATCATTTTGGTGCCTTCACTACCATGAGTTTATCTAAGAAGTTAGTGAGCACCAAGTAGCACTATTTTAATAATTGCAGGAAAATGAGAAAGAGCAGTAAATGATGCATTAGTATCAAAGGAAGTCCTAGAGAAATTATGGCAAGTCATATAAATGAAACATATAATAATTTGAATGGACTGAGTGTTGAAGAAATTGAATCATTTCACTGTAAAAGTGGTCCATGAATTCAAAGGACCAACATTCAGTACCATATTCATGTTTGAAGTTGCAGTTGGGGTTCAGCAAAATATTATCTGTCACATAAAATCAATGTTGTGATTTGAATCGCATTTATTGATTTTGCAGTCTTTTTAATAATATTTTTTAAAGTTTATCTCATATAATAACAATAAGCATCAGAAGTTTATACCTATTTTTATAGTAGTGCATACTGGTACAAATAATAACATAATAATTTGGATCAACCATGGTGAGTTCTCTTTTTCCCTTTAAATGAATTTCAACATTAAGTTATTCTATTAAAAGAATCTGTACATTATTTAAATGTGAGAATCATTCATTTATTATTTGTATTTACTGAGATCTGATGGTTCAGTTTGCTAGAATTCAATATGGGACACCACCCACTTGTGGCCCTCACTGACTATTCAGTACTTACAAGGAAGTACTTTTTTCTCTCACCCATTTTAATTCACCAATTTTATTATCAAATGATACAGTTTCACTGCCTTTATCACTGGAATTTCTTCATCCTGATCTCTACTTGTTGGGTACACTCATTATGGGAAGACAATAGATAATGTCAAAAATTGACATTATATATATAATACATGCCTCCCTGGAACTTGAAGAAAGGGGTGAAGGAAAATAGAAGGTTTAGGATATTTTACTTGCTATGATAACAATTTATCACACATCTAGTGTCTTAAGAACAACACAGATTTATTAGTTTACAGTTCTGGAGGTTAAAAATCCAAAGTGAGTTTCACAGCTAAAATCAGGTGTCAACAAAATTGCATTCCTCCTGGGGGATCTAGAGAAAATTCATTTCCTTGCCTTTCCAAGCTTCCAGGACTTCCCACATTTCTGGGTTTGCCCCCCCCCCCCCGATCTCTGTTTGAATCATCAAATCTTCTTTTCTGATTCTGACCCTCCTACCCTGCTCTTTTATTTACAAGGACTCCTGTAGTTGCATTGGGCCCATCCAATCCTATATAATAAAAGCCTAATATACAAATTGTCCCCTCAACGACGGGGAGTTCAACCACTCGCTATGATAAGTGCTGACCACCAGGGGGCGGTGCGGAATAAGGCAGGTGTTGGTGATGTGGCACTGGCAGCCGGTGGCAGTGGAGGCACTGCCGGCCCCAATGGGCCCCGATGAGAGCATTACTGTGACAGGATGGTGGAGCAGGTGAGTGGGTGGTGCCAGGCCAAGGTGGGTGCAAGCAGGGCCAATCGCCCCACAGACAGCGACCAGTGGTGGCGGCAGGGGGCAAGGCTGCCACCCAGCTCCCAGGCACTGAGGGAGTCAGGTGGGGGACCCGATGACTCAGGTGGAGGGGGGCGCACGGTGGTCCGGGGGGCCCAGGTGCTGCCCAGGGCCCAGAGGTCAGCTGGGGCCTGCCCTTCTATGCCAGACCCCCATGCTTCGATCGCCAGCCAGGCCTAGGAATTGCACCCGTGCACAAATGTCATGCACCGGGCCTCTAGTTATGGATAATTTCCCCCATCTCAAAATCCCTAATTCAATCATACCTATAAAGTCCCTTTCACTATATAAAGTAAGCAATATATTCACAGGTTCCTGGAATTAGGATATGGACGTTACTCAGGTGGCATTATTCTACCTGCTACAGGGGTGTCACTAAATCCCACCTATCCCAAGAGCAGAAACTCTGATGGAGGAATCCACTTTGGAAAAGTGTGGGAACACATTCTCCAGAAACAGCAAGTAAAAGGGAATGGATGTAGGGTTAAGAGAAGCATTTTATGGTGAATGAGGAGGAGGTGGTTCTTTTTCAAATGAATTAAGGAGCGGGTTGAGGGTGTGGAACGGGTGGAACAGACCTGGCAAGGCTGCTTCGGAAGGTGGGGAAGCCTCCAACTAAGGAAGGAAGAGCACCTGCTTCCCCAGGGGCTTACCTGAGACGTGGAGCAGTTACCCAAGTAAGGTGTGGGACCTGGGGTCACACGGATTCCGTGCACGTGAAGACGACCTAAACCCACTGCCAAGATAGCCCTCTAAATTTTTATTTCATATTTTTCAAACAAACCAAACGATGACATCAGAATTAAAGTAGTTGTACCACCTCCTTTTGGTTATGCATTGTCTCTCTTTTTCCATGATTCTTTTAAGAAACCTGATCCCAATTAGACTAGCATAAGAAGAGAAAAAAAGGAGATGATTCATAGACCACACTGGAAATGAACCAAGAAATAAGAAAAACTGATCTCTGCCCAGAAGAACAATGGTGAAAAAAGTGTGCTAGCAAAAGGGCTGTATGCTGAGAGTTTAAATTGTTTAAAGGATAAAACATAGAATCTGATCAGATCTACCAGCTGTGTCTCCTTTCTAAGACATCTGCCCAAGAGACAGCTACCAAAGCTGAGAGGTTTTTCTCTCTTGCTATGTCATACGGCGTTCCTTTCCCCTCCCCCTCCCTGCTCTCCTGCTGACTGTGTGTGTGTGTGTGTGTGTGTGTGTGTGTGTGTGTGTGTGTGTGGTTTCTCTCTCCCTTGCAAGAACCCAGCCGCCTGCCTGTCTCCTGCTGTCACTGCTGTTCTGACTAGCTTTTTGCTGCCTCTTTGCCTCTTCTTTCCTCTTTCTGCTTAGTTCCTTGCCTTTTGGTAAGTATGACAAACACTCCCCCGACCCAGGCAGTGTGAGAAGACATGGGGTGTGGTTTGTGGTGTTTGAAACTTGCAGATTGCCAGTGAACTGTTTAAGAACTTTCCATTGTTTTATTTACAATTAAAATGTGTTGCTCGGGAAAGGATGTGTAATGATCTGCTGGGACTGCTAGTACAAGTGAAAAATTCTCTCCCAGAGGAGGAAAAAGGCAGGCAGGAACGTTTATAAAAGCTAAAATTTACAAATGTTCTGTTGTAAAATTAATCTAGAAAGAGACGATTTGAAAGTAACAGTTCTTTGACCTTGTTTTTCCTCTTGTAGAATGATCTTGAGGCGAGGCTACTTTTAGGAATTGAGTTGTTCTGTGGTTTACAATGACTAAGTTATTCCGTTTTAAAGTAAATATGGTACATGTGTTTAAAAAGTACTCATGGGATTAACATACAAACATCAATGATGATGGCCTCTGATGAATGAAGAATAAAACTAGTCCAAACAAAACACTTGCATGTATACTAACCACACTAAAACTCATAGAGAGTGTCAGTTTTAAATTCATTGCTTTGAAGTTTGGTTTACTCTAGACTTTATTACATCCTAAAAAGCCTTCCTAACACTTTAAAATCTGCATATGGATTTAAGCCAGTAAATGTTTACTGTTTTCAACTTGTATTAAAAGTACTCTCTTCCCTTGATTTTCAAGGATAAAGCACTAAATGCCATGGCTCCTTTTAGAAGAGCTTAAAATAGCTTCTGGCTGGACAGCAGGTGCTACCCGTCTTTCTCCAAGTTCAGGGGAGGCATAGTTATATATAGATGAGTGGGCCCAACAAGTAGGGGTTGGGATAAAGAAATTTCAGTGATGAAGAGAATGAAACTGTTTACTGTATCATTAGATAATAAAGTTGGTGGATTAGAATGGGTGAGTGGGGATTTCGGGGCTGGGTGAAAAAGGTGAAAAGATCAGTAAAAAACAACAACAACAACAAAACCACCCTCATAGACACAGACAATAGTATGGCAATTACCAGAGAGAAAGGGGTGAAGGAGGTAGAAGAGGATAAATGGAGATGAAAGGAGACTTAACTTGGGATGGTGAACACATAATATGATAGATGATGTGTTATAGAATTATAGACCTGAAATCTATATAATTTTATTGACCAATGTCACCCCAATAAATTCAATAAAAAAGAAAAAATAGAATAAAATGGGTGAGAAAAAAAGTACTTCCTTCCAAGTTAAGAGTACTTGGTGAGGGCCACAAGTGGGAGGCGATGTCTGTACGTTGAATTTTCCGTTCTTGTTGGTGTTTGAGCATTTGACATCTACTGCCCTGAGAAAGGGAGCAGGAAGCCATGCAATGCGTAGAGCAGTATGTTTCTGTTTTTGCTTTCATGCCACCACCACAGCAAAACCTGTGCATTATGGGGATCCTGTCATATTTTTATCCTGCTAATTAGCTCCATCACCATTAACTATCATTTATAAATAAAATGCACCATAACTTAAAGGCTTAAGCTAAATCTATTGCAAGCCCAGATTGGTAATAGCCAGAAACCCTGAAATCCTTGACTCAGCTCATTCCTTGCCCCCTATTTCCAAAGAGCCCAAATTATATCTTGATTATTTCCCTAGTTCATTCCCTCCCTGTTCATTAAACATTGTTATTTCTTAAAAATTAAGTTACCCTAATGCTTCTTGACTGAGAATGTTGTACTCTCTTCTTTTTTTCTATAAGATAGTCAATTTTTATATTAGAACAAAATATTATAGGAATTCAAAGAATTATTATTATGAGCATCACCATGTTTCCATACCAGTTTGTTTGTTAATTTATACCTTTTCTCATTTCCTGTCTTATTCCCAAAATGATACTAGTTTGAACCTCAAAAAAAGTGTTTTCATCATTGGTAATTATATGTTGCTCATCTGGGCAAAGGAAAATACCAGAAAAGCAAGAAAGTATGTTCTGTATCCAGTATAATGATTTATATTAATGTACTCATATCAAACAAATCTTCATTTATACATTAAAATAGAGTTAAGAAACATTATTATTATGAAGGATTTTAGTAAGTTCAGTGTCTCTTGTATTAAATATTTTCACTTTGAAAAAGTAACACCATTTAAAATGTAATTATTTTAATGTATACATCCAAGTACTCCTAATAATTGTAAATCTACATAGAATTATTTAAGAGAATGATAAGATATATTGACTATTCTAAGCAAAATAACAAATATGTCCATGAAAAACAACATCTTGAGTTACTCTGTTAATGTCAATAATCGGAGATGCTACTGGACTTTAAAGACCAAAACCAAAGATATGCTAACAGTATGACTCGATTTGGAAAAATAGCTTCCCACTGTTCCTAATATTTATGGTTTGTGAAAGTACATTCATTCTATGTTAGAAACTGTAATTAGTAGGTGCTCATTTGGGGATGTCCTTATCATTTACATGCAACTGGATTCGCAACATGAAACCTGACTGTGCTTGCCACTAGGTACCACTCCCGTATGGAGGCCAATCACTCTGTACAGCTCTCGGGAGAACCCCAGTCAACACCTCCAGGGGGCAGTTCATCATTATCCAGTCAAAATGACCTGGGGAAGCCAGGCGATCAGGATTCCTCAACCCCACTCCAAGCACCATTGAAAGAGGCAGACGTGAAGCCTGAAACAGGGGCTCATGACATCACTGAAGAGTTGAATAGACAACTGGAAGACATCATTAACACGTATGGGTCTGCTGCCTGCACAGCAGGGAAAGAGAGCTCTACCAAGGCCAAGGAGCAGCCTGAGAACACAGAACCAGCTGACAGCGGGGACAGGGACTGTGAGGAAGCCACTGAAGAGACCGAGAGAGAACCCGTGGCTTCTGGAGAGCCACCTGCAGCCAAAGAGCCTGCCAGCAATAAAGAGCAAAAATTGGAAAAGAAAATCCTAAAAGGATTAGGCAAGTAGTTACGTTCTATATTATGCTTTTTCTTTGAATTATTTCCAAAAGGGCATTTCCTCCAACCTTTACTAAAAGATACATCTCGTATTTGAATTACTACAGGGTTTCCCTACACTTCTCTTGCTGTACTGGCTTCCAGCTGCTTTCCCTCAAATGAGCTAAAGTGAACTTTCAACATGTTACCCACCTCCCCTCTGTCCTTAATGGTTTAACTCTTAGAACAAAGAGCAAAATTCTTAACATAGTCTTTCAGCCCTAATGGTCTAACCCAAACCATTTTTTCCCAGCTTTATCTCACATCACTCTGCCCCACAACATCCCCTTCCTGAACACTCTGCCCCTATCATCACCACTTCTACAGCCGCCTAATAACTAGTCATTCTGACCTTCCCTTGCAGTTTCTTAAACCTGCCACTGGGCCTGCTTACATCCTATATTCTCTACCTAGAAATTGGTCCCCATTCCCCAGTTCAGTCATTAGGACACTTACCTCACCATTTGGCTTACAACTCAAACGGCATTTTCTTAGCTGAACTATAGATGAAGTCTTACTTTTTTCTTACTATGTATCTTTCCTTCCTCGCATATATCAGCATTTAAGTGTGTACATTGATTTTGTGATTCTTTGGTTAATGGGTATCTTCCCCACTAGCTCCTTTTTCAAGGGCAGGACAGGGACTGTGTACATATTTGAACATCATCAGAGGCCTAGTGTCCAGGACAATGGATAGTACATAGTAGGTGGTCAATAAATATTTGTTGTAAGGATGAATGGATGAATAAATGGAAGTTGTTTAAATCAAAGCAAGTGGAATTTGGATTTAAACAAAATATAAATGTCGGGATTGATTTGTACATATAAAATGACTGTCAGATCACTTAGTAATTGTCCCATTACTGTATAAGATATTTTTTATTGAACAAAGCTCTTCAGAAATGTGTCAATTTCAGAATGTCAACAACTGCAGAAAATATTTTTACTCTCATTATTTCATTGGTTCAGCAAATACTTATTAATGTCTCCACTTTATGAGAGACTGTGCTAAGCGCACAAAGATAATTAAATTGTCATAGCCTTTTAGTCAAGGAGCTCTAGGTATGAAGAGAGGAAAAAACATGTAAACTAATTATATTACATAGGGTAAGTGCTAGAACAGGTGCAGGGAAATTGTTAGGAGAGCCATGAGGGATTGGTAACATCAAAAATGGTTGTGAAAGAAGGGTGAGAGAATTAATGCTTTAGCTAGGAATGAAAGCATGTTACTTTGCATATGAATGTTCCTCTGCTTGTCCTCCTTGGTGAATTTTACTGAAACACTCACTATAAATACCACCTCCTATGTGATACATTTCCTGACATGCCCAGGTCGGGTTAGCATCACGCTCCTTAGTTCATTATTAAATTTTCTGCAGCAATCATTTATTTATATAGCTTCCTCCCAAGCTGGATGGAGAATCTATCAAGGGCAGTGATCACATCTTATTCATTTCTGAAAGACAATGTGCCAGAGTGAAGGGTTGTGAGCTGTTGGAGCTACAACTGGATTCAGACTCCAGTAACAGATTATCTGTAAACCCAAAAGTATGCCTATGCTGGCATAGGACATCCCTGTGATGCTTAAAGCCCACTGCTGGCAATGCTTTCAAAAAGGGCTAAAAGACACGTTCGAATAGCATACTTGACCCATCCAGCAAAAGATTAACCCAGACAATACCAAGTTCCAATGTGCATATTCTCTAGTGTTTGAGAACTTTGGGAAGGAGAATAAAATTGCTGTGTGTTACAGAGCTATTTTTTCCTTCTCTATCCAGGACATCTCAAAAAAAGTCTCTTTGCATCAGTCATTGTTAAACTTCCCATAAGACAATAGAAAAATCACATGCAGAGGTGAATGATGTCAAGTGTTTCTAACCAGAAAAGTTATTTTGCTTTCTCACTCTAAAACTTCCTCTACATAGCAATTTGTATGTGTTGTACTGAGGGGATGATATGAAGAAAGTAGGAGTAAAGTTAAAGATGACCAATTTTGGTTTCTTTTCTATTCATGAATTATGGGTCCACTCTAATTACATGCGTCTGACCCTTCCATGCCATTCCTCTGAACGCCATCAGAATATTCTTCCAATCATTGTACTATTTCAACTACAATATGAGTTAAAACAACATTTTAGGCTAATCTAAATATGCAGCAACCACTATTTTAAATATTATTTCAGTTGCCCGCAAGTGATTTTAATATGCTTCTTGGCCGTTTATCAATTAAATGGCACTGCATATCATCTAGATCAGTGGTCGGCAAACTCATTAGTCAACAGAGCCAAATATCAACAGTACTTCTTCAAAATACACTTGCCCAGGCCGAAAACCAACTTCTGCGCATGAGCCACGAAGTTTCAATCACACTGTACGTGCGCGCCCACACGTGGTATTTTGTGGAAGAGCCACACTTAAGGGGCCAAAGAGCCGCATGTGGCTCGCGAGCCGCAGTTTGCCGACCACTGATCTAGATCAATGGTTTTTCAACTTAACTGTGCATTAGAATCAAATACAGAATTTGTCAAAAATGCCACTCCTTAGCACATAGATTCAGAATTGGTGGGTCCAAGGTACCCTGGGTAATTTTGACACAAATGGCTTGTGGAAGCAATGGTTCTGATGTTTCTGAAAGTGCTTCCTCCACCTTTCAGGGAAAATATAAAGTGCCAGCTGTGGTCCTCTTTGAAAATCTATCTAGCTCTTTGGAGGATTTTATTAAATCATTCTACCCATACCTGAAGATACATGCTTCGACTTTATTTATGTACTTGGTCAAATATGAGTTTTTAATTATTACATGTTTATCAAGCAATATTTGCTTTATTGGTATTTTTAAGGTTCTGAAATGTTCTGACTCTCTAACCCAAAACCTTCCAACTTTGGGTTATTGGAAATTTCAGACCAAGTTAAAATTTCCCTAACTGCCAGAATTCTCTGACCTTTAATATAGCATACAACAAGAAAATCTCCAACAGTGATGGGCATAGTTTACAACATCTCCTAAACGTACTGGACCACAATACCCTTCTTTCGTGGAACATTTGTACATGTCTCTACAACCCAAGCACTCAGGACTTACTTGTCCTTTAGAGGTTGCATATCCTCCCACAGTCAACACGCTATACACTGGAGCAGTTGGGGGAACGTTTTAAAACCTCCTTAGTTTTTAGAGTCACTTTTTCCTTGGCATCTGAACTGAAAGAAAACAGATTCCACATTAGAGAGCACCATGACATATCCTGTTAGCATTTAAAGTATCCCCCTTGCTTCCCTCACACCATCCTCCAGGCTCACAAGTGTCCTATTAATCATGTCTCTGTTAACATTACATGGGCTGCACAAGCACCACATAGTAACAAGCACAAAACAATGATAAAATCTAATATACCTTCTGGTATTTCGGTTGATAACTAATTGTATAGGAAATCAGTTTAAAGCATAAGTCCAAGAGAAAAACAGCTGATCTGCAGGTCCATTCTGAGTTCAGACTCCATCTAGTCAACCCACTGATTTTATAGACAGGGAAATTGAAGCCTAGATAGTTTTAAAGATTGGAGGAGAGGAGAGAGGAGGGAGTTTATTCAACTAATTTATGTGATTGTGAGATTACTCATAATGAAAGCAAGGGGAAGCTCTGAAGTTATTAATATTGCAGAACCAAATACACATAAAAATAAAAAATCCGTATATTGGTTGAGGAGCATTCACTGAGCTCACTTAATGTGTTTCATCTTTTAGTTACAGGTGAGTTTCAGTTCTACTTTCGGAAGGGCACCTTGACTAAAACATTGCTTTTCTAAAGTGCCTTCAGCCATTGACTTACTTTGCCTAGAACAGCCACTTTCCCTGATGGTCTATGTCATCCATTTTAGCTTGATTTCTAGTTTCACTGTGAGAGGGAAACAAACTGCTGCTTTGAATCAAATTCTAAGTTTTCTGGAAGAGAGAGTTGGAGACCAGATGAACTCATGGGGAAGAAGAACCAGCAGAGACTGAAAGGTTCACAGTAGAGTCATAGGGAAGCTAAAACTTAGGCCAGATCCTGAAAGGAGAGGAGGGTCTGGAGAAGCAGGTGGAAGAAGAGAGAAAAATGTCTCTCAAGCAAAATAACTAGTACTCTCTTCTAAACTTGAACCGCGTTGAGAAAGGATGTATTCATTTCTTTTTTTTTTCTTTTTTTTTTTAAATATATTTTATTGATTTTTTTACAGAGAGGAAGGGAGAGAGATAGTTAGAAACATCGATGAGAGAGAAACATCGATTAGCTGCCTCCTGCACATCTCCCACTGGGGATGTGCCCGCAACCCAGGTACATGCCCTTGACCAGAATCGAACCCGGGACCCCTCAGTCTGCAGGCCGACGCTCTATCCACTGAGCCAAACCGGTTTCGGCTGTATTCATTTCTTACTGTTTTTTCTAATATGTTTCTTTTTTTATTATAATGGTTGCTTTATTTTATTTTTCCTAGAATAATTTCCTCATTATTAGATTTAGAGATATTTTTCTTTTTAAGAAGTTTTTCTTTATAGTTATAGCCAAGGAATTGCCAGTGGTTTAAACACATTAACAGAACTAATAAGAAGTCCAAAATCACTCTCCAAATGAGTGAGAAGCCAAAATTCCAATTACATATAATAAGGTCACTAACATACAAGAGAAATAAAATGTCAGCTGAATGGAAAACAATGTGACTAGAGAACACAGGGAAGATAGTATTTTCAAAACTGATGTAATTAGTAAAAACAAGCAAAGCAAACATAAACCATGACTATACGAGGTGACGGTGAGGGGGTAAGAGAACCTGTATAAATTTTAAAAGTGGACCAGAACACTTGAGGTAAACAAATATGTCAACCAAACAATGTTATTTGTTGTTGTTGTTTTCTGTATCAAGCTAAAAATAGTTAAAGCTACTTCAGTCATGCAGTCATCAAATTTTAGAGGCTGAACTCAGAATCCATTTAATCAACCCATTAATTTTATAGACAGGAAAAATGGGGCACAGAAAGTTCAAGAGTCTGTAAAAAGGTCACTCAACTAGTTGTTGAACTATGCAGTCAGTTCTAGAACCCAGGTCCCCCAAACTGAGTCCAGTGTGAATTTAAGTATACTGTCCTCCCTGTCTACATACATTGATACATACATATTTCCCTTAAAAGATATCTATAGGTGTTCAAGAATTATTTGTATTACACTCATTATCTTTAAATTATGTTAGAGGGAAAACAAAGTTAACAATGAAATATTCTGGGTCTAACATTTGTAAAGAACATTCACAGTTTTTTCTTGCTTTAAGCTTCCTCCACCACTTTTGGAAATCAGAGAGAAGATAGGCGTACATGTGTATTCAAGACCGAATTTTAGCACCAAAGTCCTAAAAGATAATTTTACAAGAGAAAAAGCAGTTTTGAACACTCATTAAATCTATATAATTGGTCACCAAAATTTGCATAAATAGTTATCATTCTGCTAAAAGTTTGAGAAAAATCTCAGTCTACATTTCTATAGCTAACTTCAATTGTCTTAATTTAAGGCTTTTAGTTTCTTTGATGTAGAAATAATTCCTTTATATTCCAATACTCCTGCAGTCTACAATAGCATCAGTGGCCAGAGCCATGTGACATGGCTGTTCTTGCTGCACAGGTGGTTCTTCTTTCGTGTAGACTTACAACCAAACTGAGCATTCTGTAGGGTAATGGCCATTTGCCACCATATACCTTACCCAGCTTTAATGAGGACTTCAGGTCAGTCCCTTGCTTTCTTTATGACTAATTTCACAATCACGTTGCTTTCGAATGACACATTGAGAAGACAGATCATCCCTTCCCAATAAATGACCCTAAATAAAATAATTTTTCCTCTTGTTACCAACACTGCCACCAAATGACCCCATTTCTATGGAATTATAATTACAGCCTTTCTTAAAAGATGAGCAAATCTCTTTGTGTATTCCCTTCTTCTATGATAATCCCATACACCACTCCAGTCCAGCAAAATCAATGAAAGCTTAAAAATAAGTTCTCTGGTGTTGCTAATTTATGAATTCTACACATGCCTCATTCTGATTTCTTGGATTTTTGTTGTTGTTGTTGAAGGGAGAAATCACTTTTGAAGAGTAGATGATGTTTCTGAATGTCATTCTTCTATACAAAATAACAGCATATGGGAAGAGACCTCAGTGAGTGTAATGATCAAAAAAAAAAAAAAAAGAAAGCAACCCTTCTCACAGTTAAAGAAAACAAAAAGGAGAAAGATACTTAATGTGGGGAAAAAAGAGAGCCATTGGACTCACTCGGGTGTTTCTATCGCCCCCCAAAGGAGACATGTAATGGTTTTACGTGTCCATACTCACACTGAATTATCCTAGCATACACTAAATGTCACCAGTGACAGTAAGACCTATCTTTCCTCTAGTCCAGTGGTTCTCAACCTTCCTAATGCCGCGACCCTTTAATACAGTTCCCCATGTTGTGATGACCCCCAATTTCATTGTTACAAATTGAACATAATTAAAGCATAGTGATTAATCACAAAAACAATATGTAATTATATATGTGTTTTCCCGATGGTCTTAGACGACCCCTGTGAAAGGGTCGTTCGACCCCCAAAAGGGTCGTGACCCACAGGTTGAGAACCGCCGCTCTAGTCGGTTACACAGTATTCATTTGATGCTAGTGTGCAGTGGCTTTGTTTTGTTCCATTATTACCTACATTTGCTGAGCACTTGTCACAGAGCAAGCACTGTGCTGGATCCTGGGCCTGATGTGATCAACAGTGCAGTGTCTTGCCTTTCACAGATGACACTAACTCAGGACAGCAATCTTCATGTGGGCACCTTCCCCAAACTGAAGACAAGAGTGAAGGGATGGCCTGACCTGTACCATGCACACTCATCCCTGCTGCTAGAGAAATAACTCAAAGCCCATGGGGGGAGCTGGGGAGCGGGGGGAGAGACAGCAGTGATTATCAGTTTAAAGGCAGCATGTTATTCCAGGCCATGATTGGAGAGCTGATGGGGCACCTCTCACACCCACCTTCTCCCCTGTCTTAGGCCATGTCTCTAATCTGAACTGACGCACTGGGCAAAGACAGACGAAACCATAGACAAAACCAGCTGTTAGGAATGAGGTCATTTTTTTTTCCAAAATAGTTTCCTTTTATTTCTCTTGGCTTCACTGGCATCAAAATTCCACAAGGGAGTGAAGTGATTTAGAGCAAGTAGACAAACTTTGGATTCAGGCCTTGGCTCTGCCAGTACTAATCATGTAACTTTGGACTCCCTGGGCCTTAGATTCTTATCTGTAAAATTAACCAGTTGTCTATGTGCTCTTTGAAGTTCTTTCTAGACCTAAAGTTCTTTGAAGCCATTCGAGTTAACAGATTTAGCAAATAAAAACAAAGGATGGCCAGGAAAATTTTAATTTTAGATAAATGATACATAATTTTTTTTTAGAACAACTATATTCCATGTCCTGTACCCTAATTTCATGATTTCTCTTCCTATCCGGGATGAAAGCAAAAAATTCCAGCAAACAGGAAATGCCTGTTCATGAGGGAAAGGTTGTCCAAATCTATAATACTAAAAACGTAATATGCTAATTATACCGGACGTCCTTCTGGACATCCTTCCTTCTGGACAAAGCCGCAGCGGGTGGGGGCCGAGGCAGAGGCCCTTGCACGAATTTCGTGCATCGGGCCTCTAGTTGTTAATATTCTTAAGCATATTTATATTGAGAGACATAGGTTCCACTGTGGGGCTTGACCTCCCTATTCTGATTAGACAGAGTGATTGTCACTCTGTTCCACCTGATTGGACTTTTGAAAATATATACTCAGTGGTACAGGTAGGCCTCAGGGTCTCTCTCCTCCCAATGGCTACTTAAAGACAAGATTTCTGGGCACCACAGGAAGGCAAACTGGACAGTTTGAGCTGAAGACAAAAGGAAGAACAATGGAGTGGAGGTGAAAAGAATCTGAGGCTTACCATCAAATAATCATGAACAGATGAGTTTTTAGTATAACACAAACTCATACTGGGAACAGAAAATGAGACTGTCAACAGAGATTAAGTCCTGGGAGGGAGAAGGGAAGGCCCAGGAAGGCTTAACCTGTAACCAAAGAGACACAAAAAGGCCTGGAAAAGACCTTGCATGTCATGGGTCCATTTTCTTTATCTATTGATTTTACTCTCTGCTTGATAGGAAATATGATCAGTTATTCCCACCCAAAACTATTGGATGGGCTCATGCACAGAAACAAGAGAATCTGATTCCCCCCAAAGAGAGGGAAAAGGGTACTAAAAGAACAGCAACACCAAAAAAATAAAATTAAAATAAAAAAGACAGACAAAACTGTCAAGTTTCTCTGTTTTGGGCTGGAATTATAGCAACTCTATGTATCAATGATGGCTATTTCATAGCAGTCAGAACTTTTGATGGACCATTTTGTTTCTTCCTTTTTAAAAATCAATTAATGTGGGGAAATTGGTGATCTATTCTTTCATTATAGTCAGTTTATTTTATTCTTTTGAATATTTTTAAAATATTTAAAATTCTTTTGAACATTTAGAATATGGGGGAGAGGGGGTGGAGATTAACAAGAATAGATTCTTGGGCACTACTGTTATATTAAGAATTTACCATGAGCCTGATGCTGTAGCACATGCTTTCACCAACTTCTCAACTAATCCTTACTCTGTAAGGTAGGTGTCATCCAAGATGCCTACCTTTCTTATAGGAGAGGAAAATGATATCTGAGGGTCAAGGTAAGAAGCTTGGTGAGGGTTGGATAGTAACTAGCAACTGGACAATCTGAGATTCTAGCCCACATCATCTCACTTCAAGCTCAACACTTACTTTTAAAAACGTCTTCACCATTCTTGTTTTCTCTTAAGGCAAAGAAGCCAACCTGCTAATGCAAAATCTGAACAAGTTGCAAACACCTGAAGAAAAGCTTGATTTTTTATTCAAGAAGTACGCTGAATTGGTAAGATCTTTGATTAACGCTTTTTGTCAGAAAGATTCAGGCTCAGTTAGAGCTGAGAAAAGGAGGCTGTTCATTTTTTAGGTACATCATTACAACCATGACTGGTTAGCTCAGATAAGCCAAAGATGGAATTTATAAAAGCAAAAAATTTTATAGGAAAAAGAAACAAAAAATCCGAGGAATAATAGCTGAGTGGGGAAAGAAGATAGTGCTGGAGTCTACTCCACCTTTGAGTACATGTGTAATTTGGGGGATGGAACAGAAATTATAGATAATTGAAAATTCTGGATATTTTAACGTTCTTTTTAGCTTTGCGATAAAACAAAGGCAAACTTTCATTCCATTCTGTGCTCAGGTTTTTGGAGGGGGTTTCCTCAGGAAGAGGGTTGAGTTAATCCTACCCCCTCAGTTTGTGACACATTCTCATTTAGTCTTGATGACTTTTAGTTAGGTAGTCAGTTAGCTGATTAGTTATTCATTCATTTATTCTCTTTGATCTACATTCTCCTCCCCTTCCCCTGCATGGCACAGTGTTTGATGTAAACTACATTGTGCCCAGTTCTAGGTCCTCCCCATTCAGTCTCCCTCGCAAAAAGTCAGGGCTACTGGAGGAAAGGCAGCCCTTCCCAGACCTCAGAGAAGCCATGATGTGTCTTGTATCCTCACCAGTACTCCTGCAATGGGCAGGGCGGAAAAGGGGAAGCATTCAGTGAAGCCAGCCTGTCTGGTTTCAGTGAACCCTGCCCAAACTTGCTGAAGGAGTGACATCAGCAGCCTGTGTACTACACTGGGGTGTGCGAAGGCCACAGCTGAGAGGTGGCACCCTCTCAAGTGAAGCAAGGCAATGTGCTTCTCTCTCATTTCTGCTTGTTTTCTTTAAAAAATATTAACTTACTTATTTCTGTTAGGGAAGTGGTGACAGAATGAAACTGATGTCCACTCACACAGCAGAACAACTCCTCCAGGCAGCAGGCTGCCCTGCCCCCAAGGGCAGATTCACCGGGCAGCCAACGCAGCTATGAGTCAGGGCCTCTCACTTGCACCGGCCCCTCTGAGGCCCTGGACATACTCCTCTTTTCTTAATTATGTATTTTTGGGGTTTTGGTTTTAAAAAGAGGAACTCCAGAACTGAATGAGCTTCAGGCCCACAAACCCCTTAGGTACCTGATGGAGTAGAATATGAGGGACTTGTTTTCTTTCTTTTTCACTCTAATTTTAGTCCTGGAATCCCAGTTTGCTCTGTCCTTCCTTTCGTTTATCTGTGCATCCTGTTATGCTAAATTGTCTATGCAGTAGACTCACAGAACTTCTGAAATCCTGAGAGACTAGCTTATTCCTAACTCTGCCAACAATGCTTTTTAATTATTTGTCATTATATAACCCATATCATTATGATATAAGAAAAATGCTGAATACACAATTCAAGTAAAAATATCTCTAATCCCATATTAAAAACACAAACTTTGATTTATACATCTTCCTTTCCAGTTTTGCTATATATGCAGAGGTACCTATTATTATAATTACCATCACGAGGTACATATACAGTTGACTCTAGAACAACATGAGGGTTAGGGCACCAACCCCCTGCATAGTAAAATATCTGAGTATAACTTTAGACTCCCCAAAAACTTAACTGCTAATAGCCTACTGTTGACCAGAGCCTTACTGATAACAGTCAATTAGCACACATTTTTGTATGTTATATGTATTATATGCTGTATTCTTACAATAATATAAGAAAATAAAACATTATTTAAAAAAACATAAGGGCAAGAAAAATACAATTTCCCTGGCCTGGTAACTCAGTTGGTTAGAGCATCATGCTGATACATCAAGGTTTCGGATTCACCTCCCAGTCAGGACACATACAAGAAGTAATCAGCGAATGCATAAATAAGAGAAATAACAAATCTGTGTTTCTCTCTCTCTCTCTCTCCCTCTTTGGAATCTGGTATTTTGGCTCATATGGCATATATTTTCCCATATAGTTTACTAGAGGCCCAGTGCACGAATTCGTGCACAGGTGGGGCCCCTCTAGGTGGCCTGCAGGGATCGGGCCGAAACCCACAGTCCAACACCGCCTGAAGCTCTTATCTGCCACTCCCACTCATCCCAGCCCCGCTGTGCCTGCCGCAGGCTTGCGCCCAATCAGTCTCGATCAGGAGAGGCTCCTGCTGCTGCAGCAGCGCTCCCCAGCCATGAGCCCTGCATCTGGTGCTCTCCCAAGGGGAGTGGCCTGTGGGATCAGGCTGAAACCAGCTCTCCAACATCCCCTAAGGGGTCCTGGATTGCGAGAGGGTGCAGGCCAGGTTGAGGGACCCCACAGTGATCGGGCCGGGGAGGGACACCAGGAGGGCTCCAGGGTGTGTCTGGCCCATCTCGCTCAGTCCCAATTGGCTGCACGCCAGCAGCAAGCTAACCTACCAGTCGGAGCATCTGCCCCCTGGTGGTCAGTGCACATCATAGTGAGTGGTTGAGCAGCGTTAGCATATCATTAGTATATTACACTTTGATTGGTTGTTCGGTTGTTCTGCTGTTCAGTCTATTTGCATATTACCCTTTTATTATATAGGATAGTCTTCATAATTATATTTTGTAAAAGCACTGTCATTTTCCACAAAGTGGACATATCTACTGGTTCTTTCATTTTGGGACACTTAAGATTCCTTCCAGTGTTTGCTGCAGTGAACATTATCACACATTCGATTTGTTCCTGCTCTCTCTTTTTCATATTAGGAAAAAGTTCCAGAATTGGGATCACTAAATCGAACAGTATGAATGCCTTTTGTTTTTGTGTGTTTATGGCCATATTGCTTTCCATAAGAACAGTATAAATTTATGAAGTAGCTATCAGTGTATCAATTTTATTGCAACTTATTTAACTTTGGCTGTTAACCATCTATGAACAATTTCAATACCACAAAATAAGTTGTGTCAAAATATTTTTTCCAAAAAATATGGCTTCCATTCTCATCTGTCCATCCTGCTCTTTTCAATATTTTCCACATCATTTTTCCTTTGCCCCTTCAATGTAGCTATTCATACCAACGCCATGTTTAGTTTCTAGCTCCATGCTCCATACATGACTGGACTGTGTGGCATTCCAGACTCACACAGAAAGCCATTCATGGTACTGCAGCCCCACAGCAGTACACTGAAGAAGAACTACTTCTCCACTCTGCCCAATATTTTCTTCATAAGCCAGGGCTGCTCACCTTGGTCTCAGGGAACTCCCAGCATCTGCTCTCCATCTAGCCAAGCAGTCATCCCCACAGAGGTTACTCTTCCAGAGAGCCTCCTCAATTCAAGCCTTACTTACTATACCTTGACATTTGTATCATGTCTAATAAACATTAAAACCCCAAAAGCATTCTAGAAAACAAGGGGAAAATTGACCCCAAAAGACCATTAACTTTACTTTTCAGAAAGAAAAAATTATGAGAAATTTTAATCTTTTACTTGGAGACTAAAACCTATTTTCCTGCTCACTGATTTGAATATTAATACAGAAAGTGTCTGAAATATAAGTGTTAGCATAGAATAAATCATCAAATTCAAAGCTGTGAATCAAAGTGCCACTCCAGCTCACTCATCCTTACAGATTTGGAGTTTTGTAATAGTATCTACTATGGTATTCATTTAAAATTAAGGATAAGTTCATTAATAAATAAGAACACCTCATGCCTAAATTAAGAAATGAGCTAGGAGAAGTATTTTTTGCAAATTTCCTCAATATTAATCAGCAGAAACAACTGTCATGACTTATTCAGCATAAGCACGAGGGGTATGTGGATGGGCAGAGAGCAGGGCATGTTACAGATACTAGTCATCACGCTAAGTTGTGTGGTGGCTATTTGTGAAATTTTGGTGGCCAATCATCAATGCTTAGATAGTGAAGGGGTGCCTTCTCTTCTCCCCCTTTATTACAACCCACAAACTTCATCTTCTTTTTACCAGGAGGCTACTTTTTTTCTTTCCTACTCTTTAAAATAGTTTATATAAGCTTATTTTGAGAAAGTATTGAAAAGTAAAGGTAAACCAAGCAGACACACCATTGACCACTGCCCCAATGGTAGGCATTAATTAGTATGACTTCTGGCAGTTTACAGATTCTGAAACATGCCTTTCCAATATTGACTGGCATCATTAGAGAGACTCAAGAAATTAAACACTAGACCAGTGGTCGGCAAACTCATTAGTCAACAGAGCCAAATATCAACAGTACAACGATTGAAATTTCTTTTGAGAGCCAAATTTTTTAAACTTAAACTATATAGGTAGGTACATTGTTATTAACTTAATTAGGGTACTCCTAAGGTGTAGGAAGAGCCACACTCAAGGGGCCAAAGAGCCGAATGTGGCTCGCGAGCAGCAGTTTGCCGACCACGGCACTAGACTATGAAAAGGAAGACAAAAGTAAGAAGAGGTCAATAATAATAGTGATGATAAGGAAAAACTTGTGAATGTTAAGCTGTGAAAACAGTATCCACAAATACTACAAAGGTAACATTGGTGAGGATCATGTGATTCCAGAGGGACGGTGATAACAACAAAGAAAATATTTCCAAACAACCACAGAGTGATCTTTAGGCATCTCCTCTTTTGCTCCTTTTTTATCAACTCAAAAGAGAGTCTTGCCATTTCCTTTTGCATCCCCACGCCCCTGTCTAGCTGGATGAACATCGCACTGAGCAGAAGACTTTAAAGCTCCTACAAAAGAAACAGGCACAAATCCAAAAGGAAAAGGACCAGTTACAAAGTGAACACAGCAGAGCTATCCTCGCTCGGAGCAAACTGGAGAGTCTGTGTCGGGAGCTGCAGAGACACAACAAGACACTGAAGGTATGTGTCACCAAGGCCCTGCTAACACCTTCTTCCTGCTGCAGAGACACAGGCCTCTGCTACTCATGGAAAGAGCTTGAGTTTCAGAATCAGAGAGACTTGGGTTCAGATACTAGCCCTGCCACTTGCTCACTGTGACCTTCAATAAATTACTTAACCTCCCCACACCTGTTTCCTCATCCATAACAAGGGGGTTGTAGGAACTTCACTGTGTGGTTGGGGAAAAATTAAATGAGGGCACATATGTACGATGTCCATATAGTGCCTGACACAGAACAGGCCCTTAGTAAAATGCATGCCATTCCCCTTGCCTTTTTCTTATGTTGAGCTTGTTTAGTTTTGTTTCTTAGGTAGGACTTCATTCTACTCTTTAAAATACAAACTTGTAAAAACGCAACATTTTTATGTGATAATGAAATCTGCATGACATGAATTGACACAAAGCTAATTGACACGGTAAAGCAAAATTGAGAGCCAAAATGTCAATAGTCATCTGAAAACAGAAGTTACTTGAGAAAACACTGAAGCTCTTCAGACTTAATTATTCAATCTCAAAATAATGGACTGACCACTTCATTCAGCCTGCATGGGCTTCATTAATTACAGCGTAAGCCTCTAGCAGTGTGCTTAATTTGATTACACACAGACACTAGCCCCATTCAATGAAGCAAGATGCAGGGCTCTCCAAGATAATACTGCATGTGTCCACAATCCCCTTTCCAGCGGAAGATCCTAAAACTTCTGACGAACAAGTATTAATTAGACGCCAATATTCCTGGGAGAGAGTTATTATTAGATGTGTTTAAAAGGAAATACTTAAAGAAACAGAGATTAAGATCACTGATGAGTTTGTACAATGAAGTTAGAAAAAAAATAGAAGAGGATAATGTCTCCTCGTATTCGAAAATTGCTTTTTGATATCTGGGAAATGGGAAGCCAGTGTGATGAATTCTAACACCCAAATCATGAGTTGTAGGAGATGAGCTTCTGGCATCTCTTCAATCACTGCTCTCAGGACACTCAAAACTGAGATTAGATGGGGGCCTGGGGAGGGGAGCATCATCGACAACTCAAGATATGTGCTCCAGGAATAGCGCTGTGTGTTTACGCAAATCTCCTGACCTTCACTAGTGCTCTATTGAAAGGAGAGAAATTAACCAGATGTAGTAGAAAGATTTAGCAACAAAGAGATTTAAAAGTGGAATAATGTGCCAAGGTCTGTTTGGGTGACATTCAAAGACGGAATGATGGAAGTGGCAATGGCAGGGGACCCTGTGGGAATACTCACACACCCTCAATAATGGCTTCCAGTTACAGACAATGAAATTTAGTATCATTATTATGATAGAAACTTGGGAAGATATAGGAAGAGAATGCATAGCTCTTTCCACCACCATAACATTTAGCGCTTACTGGTACTTATTAAAATTGATTCTTCAGTGAGTCAAAACCCCCACAAAAACCTCACAATTCAACTTAATTTAGAAAAAGACCAGTGAAAGTCTGAAATATGGACTCATTCCAACAAAATACTACATATATTCGAAGCAATAAATCTGAGCCTCAAATTATACTGAAAAAGAACTGCCCTATAAAGAATAGCTAAGTGTCTTAGGCAACATTATTTTAGTAAAGGAATAATGATTTGTTATAATAGAATTCCACAAAATTTTAATGTGGAAAGGACTATAGGAATCATCTAGTTCAAGCTACTCGTATGTCTATATCTAAATTAACAATTCATTGATTCATTAAATAAACACTTACTGAACACCTATGGATCACGTGCCAGGCATAGCACCAGTTCTAAGGTGGATAATGATGCTTGCAGAGTTTATTTCCCTAAGTATTCAGACTGTGACCCTCAATCTTCTTTGCCTTAATTTTCACTTTGATTAACGTGCTTGATAAAGAAAATTTTATCTCAGACACCATTCAAATGATTGCATTTTCTTTATCAATTGATTCAAAATTTATAAGATCATTTTAGATTTATTTTTCTCTTATTAAAAAACAATTCAGTCCTAACTGGTTTGGCTCAGTGGATAGAGCGTCGGCCTGCAGACTGAAGGGTCCCAGGTTCAATTCCGGTCAAGGGCATGTACCTTGGTTGCAGGCACATCTCCAGTGGGAGGTGTGCAGGAGGCAGCTGATCGATGTTTCTCTCTCATCGATGTTTCTAACTCTCTATCCCTCTCCCTTCCTCTCTGTAAAAAATCAATAAAATATATTTTTTTTAAAAAACTATTCAATGTAAAAAACAAGATGCCATTTTGTGGCCAGGAATGAGTGCTATGATGGTTTGATGTGTGTTTAATGCCCTCATAATACCCATACCTTCTTTCTGTATCCAGTTGCCAATGAAAAGCTTGTACTTACTGAGTAGCATGGGGTGCTTCTTCCATTGACTTTTTCATTCATGGATGGAATTGTTATAAATGCAAATGTCATTCAGATCATGGTCTGTAAGGCTATGACTAGGAACTTGTTGATTTCTAAGCTAATTCGGAGCAATGAGGAAACAACCACTACCATATGTATATTCCATTTTTCTTAACAAATGGCCATAATCATTTTTAGTGCAATATGTAGAGTAACTGTTGGTTAGCGTACAAAATTCAGGGAAATAAGATCTCTGATAGTTAATTTCTTCAGGTTAGGAAGTGCAGCTATCGTCTACAATATCTCTAAGATATTGTCACTCAACAAATGTTTATACCATGAATAAATTAGGATTCTGATATCAGGAATCATGTTAAAGTTAGAGACTTTGTTAAAATCGTAAAGGAAAGAGGACACCTGATGATAAATTAAAATATTTCCAGAGCATATACTTTCAGCATCAATTTTTATTTTGATCACATTATTCTACTATCGTAATAAAGATTTGCACAATTACTTCTGTTTAAATTACCGGTTCAGTTTTTAAAAAATCTTGTTACATAATGTGATCAGAGTAGGCAACTAATTACAGTATAATTTTACTTGCTAACAATGAAGCAAGCTTTCATAATAACAACTAATCCGAACTGAATGGAATCCTACAAAGTCTATATCACTTGTCAGCAGTGTATCTTTGGTATGATGGAGCAAGATTAAACCCTTTTATTCTAAAAGAATGAGAGGAATAATCACAAAGCAAACAATTTTAAATATAGATATGGGGGAAATAGGGGTACATTGTTAGTAGTTAGCAATGAAAGGCGGGTTTTGATTTTTAAGAGCAAAGAGAACAGAAATGACATAAAAGTTAATTTCCAATTTGTGAATGTTAACAAAGCGGAAGAGGGGAAATTAGATGTTTCATTTTAGAGTTAAAGTATATTTGAAAATTAATATTGCTTTCAGTTTCAAAATTCCCCACTGCCCGACTGAATGTTTCAATTGCCCTACATGACACGTGGGATGATTGTTCTTCAGAAATAAAATAGCCAACGTATTTTTTA